TTGTCTGATCTACTTATTATACAGTTATGGTTTATGAGGGATTTGAATCATATCAGTGTAAATCTGGCCCATAGTAAAGATGATTATGTGACAAAAGTTACTTTACTGTAAAATCTGGAAGCTTCTGAGATCTTCTAACCTTATAAGCCTGGTTGTAAATACTTTTAAGTAATTATGTGTAGCTCAGGTATGTTAAGTATAGTCAAATATGTTTTTAAGATCCTTCAGAAAACTGTTGTTCTGGGCCACAAGAACCATATCTATAGATAGAAAGATGGGAAATAAAATATAGCATAAAGAACAACAGAGTTTTAAATCTCTTGTGATGATAAAAATATCACTTAATGGATTTGTGTGTCAGTTTTCTCTTTAATAAACAAGGATTATGGATGGTCCTTGGCAGAATCATTAAGAGAAGTTTCTCTTATAAAGTTCCTAAGCTCTTAACCTGCTCTTTGGTTCCCTCTACTTCCACATAGCTCACCAAAACTAAGTGCATCCAGGGTCAGCCAAAAAGCAACCTAAAACCTAAATGGCAATGTGTTCTCCTTCCACAAACATACACATTTTTAAAAGAGAAGTACCTCAACCTTGCTTAACCCAAGGGAATGGATTTCCACTGGTGAAATTTTAGGCTTTATGACGCCTGGGCCAAGAAGCAATTTTTGGACAATGAGGTCTGGCATTCTTTATACTTTCCCCTATCAGTGTTTCTGCTTATACATATTGGCTAGCTTATGGATGGTAATTCTGCACCACTTTCCTCTTCAGGAATACTCCTATATTTAAAAAATTTTAAGAAATTCATTTGACTCTAAAATAAAATAAAATAAAATAAAATAAAATAAAATAAAATATAAATTTAAAATTATTAGAAATAGTATATACTCTCTCTCCACTATTACTGAAGATTTCAGATCTTTTCAGTGTAATTAAACGTGATGGAAGCTGGTGCATAGGACAAGGGTGAAAAGCCCACTAGAAAGTCAGATACTATAGGAGTGGTGGTGCCAGTGAGGGAGGAAGGAAGGACTAGCCACAAAAGTCATACTTTTCTATGAAACTCTCCTACTAAAATTGGGTACTGGGTTGGGATAAAAATTTTTTATCTAGGGCCTAAAGTAGATGAGAGCACATTTGAAATTTTCCTGTATATTCCTGACCTGACCTGCTTTTACTTTATTCTGTCATCCCATTAACCTATTAAGTTGCTCTAGTTCATTTGTTCATGTTTACAGAGTACCTACTTTACAGCAGGCATCTATGTGACTATTTGGAGGAGATGTGGATACAAAGATGAAGAGAACACCATCCATGTCTTGGAAATGCTCAGTGATGGGTAATTTTGCAGGGAGTGAAGCAGATAGGAAACAGATAAACAAAGCAATTGTAACACCTAGATGATTAAGACTTCTAACAAAGATAAGGGACTAAGTGCTATGAAAAAAATAAAAAAATAAAGAAACATCACAGAGGTAATGTTAAGACTGGACTTTAAGGAGTAACAAATATTTGGCTAGGTACTAGAAGGGAGGAATATGCTTTAAGAAGAAGAAATAGCTTGTCTAGTAGAGATACTGTGGTTGGGTCGTGGAGGAAATGATACCAGAAAATGGGAGAAGGCCAGAAAGGTGAAAGGCCTCATCTACCCTGCTAAGTCGTTTATGCTATAGTGTGTAGGGGATGAAGGGCCCCTGAAAGATTTTAAATAGGGAAGTAATATAACCTGATTTCAGTTGTAGAAAAATTAACTCTAGTGGCAGCGACACACTTGACACACTTGAGACACTTGAGAGCTAGAGGCAGATAAACTAGTTTTATGATTATTTCAATAGTCTCCATGGAGGATGATGAGGGCCTGAAATAATGCAATTAACAAGGGAGGATGGAATAGAGGGAATCAGATGATAGGCAGTACAGAAAACAGAGACTGACAGCAAAGCGAATGTGAAAAGTAAGAAAGAGTGAGGGAATAAGGATGGTGCTGAAACTGCTGAAGACCATTACTGAGACAGGAGACACAGGAAAATGGTGAAGGCTTTATTTTCAGGGGAGGAATTTTTAACAAACATACTATGAAAACACAGAGAAGAGAGTGATATTTAACTTTCCGGAAAGTTGAAGAAGACTTTGTAGAGAAGAGATACTTGAACTAGTCTTGCTAGTTTGATGAGTATGATTATACTAATAATATAATTTATAACATGCTGATAATAAAATAACTGGCACTGAACTAGGTATCTTACATGGTATCCAGTTTATTACTCATATCAAACATGCCTGTGAAAGCAGTAATACTGTCTGAATTTTTCAACTGAGGAACTTTTGCTTCCAGAGGTTAAGTAATTTGCCCCAAATCTCACAGGTAGTAAGTAGGAAAGCAGGGATTGAAATACACGTCTGTCTGACTTGACTACAAAGCCTGCCTCCATCCTCTCTGCTGCACTGAATCTCATAGGATGAGTAAGTTTTTCATGGGGGAAAAGGGTAAAAGGCTCCAACCAGAGGAACCCACATATGTAAAGGTATTTAGTCTTGAAAAGATAGAGCCCTTCTGAAGAATGGGATATTACAGTGTGGAGTGAAATGGCAAGAGAAGAAGGGACGATGCAACACGCATTGTTCTAAAGGCATTACATGTTTATCTCATCTAATTCTTACAACATTATGAGGTGGGAGTATTATTATCCATATGTTATTATCTGCATTTGCACAGTGTTTTAAAATAAAATAAAATGTACAAGTTCACATACCTATGCATTTTGAATCCAGATCCTGAGCTTTTAAACCACTATGCTATATTACTGAAGATATGGGAGCATCTTTACTTATTGTTTACCATGATCATATGTTAATTTTATAATAAAAATATAATTAAAAATGGGCCACTGATTAATAGTTAGGAAATTACTGGTAATCTTAAAAAGAACAATTTCAGTATAAAAGGTAGCCAGAGTGTACTGAATAGCACAGGAATAAATGGAATTGAAAAATTAGATACTGAATATAGATCAGTTATTCAAGAAATTTCATTGTGAAAGGAAAAGGGGAAATGTGTACCTTTTTAGTTCACATTGTAATTACTGCCTGGAATACTGACATATTTACAAAGGACCTTCAAAAATAATTGCTAATAACAGTAATTTCAGATGATATGGAGAATATAATACCAGCTAACAAAGTCTTTTAAGTTGGTTTCCTGGAAGGTTTTCCTCTTAAATGCAATAAAATAGGTTGATGCCCACATTAACTGCAGTGAAGGTACACTGCCCAACTGAGGGCAATTAAAAATATAGCGGATTGAATATGAACAGGAAAGCCTCATCATATTTCATCTAGGGCTTATTGCTGGAAATCAGAATAAAAGATTCAACATTTAAATTTAACATTTAAATGACATAACTGTTTCACTTAAACTCTGTCCAATGCTTGGTGTCATTCCATTAAAACCTTTTGATCTGTCCATGGTTAAATGTGAAGAATAAGACAAGATAGTAGTTTTTCAAACGCTAAACTTATTCAACTTAAAGCATTACCTGAGATGATATTTCTACTTCAATACTGATATATTTCTGTATCAATACAAAGTTTTTTTTTAGATTATTTTTTACAAAATAATAATAATAGTTGATGAGATCTAAAAAATAAAAGGTTGACAACATTTCCAAAGATTTTATGGAAATTTAATTGGTCTCTGGGAAACACTGTTTTAGGGAATTTTAGTCATGTATATAAAATTAAAGAATTACATGTAAAGAAAACTTTGATATTTGTAATTATTTGTAGACTTTAAGCAAATACAGCTAACATATCCTGACTGTCAAAAGTTACTGATTTGTAATTTACAATGAAATGAGATCCACCTATGTATCTTAGTGTTTTTAGAATGTTAATGTACATTGTGAATAACTGGATATAGTTTCTGACTGAACATAAACCTAATCTTTAAACCTACAAAAAACAGAATACTTACCATAAATCATAAATCATAAACTTTAAGGTACCTTGATTATGTAAAGATTTTAATATGCATAATTCCTAATCTGTTTTAAAATGGTTCTTAACTACAGATTTACCTGACCTTGGGCTACCATTCAAAACATAATTTCAGGGATATTGGGGAAATGGTTGAGATGATTTATTTTCAAATAAAAAGTAGTATGAAGTAAGAAACTTTGAAGTTAGCACTACTTCATACTGTGAGACTGAAAAAAATTAAGGAAAAAGATATGTCTTAGGAATTGAAGGCAATTAAGTGTGTGAATGACAAAATGCTGTTAACAATACATAAAGATAGGATCAGTTAAAATGACAAGTTCCATTCCATTAAAGCTGCCTTAGGAAATTCTGCTACAGTGTTCAAGTCCCTTAAATTAACAAGTGACTTCTTCGTATGATATGTCCTATGTTAACATTTTGCTAGCTATCGTAAGGACTGATTGATTTTGTAGCTTTATTTAAAATATAACAATTATGCAAAGATCATCGAAAATAAACAAATGTAATTATACACCGTGAAAAGCTGTCCTGAATACTTCAGAAGAACAACACAAGAAAATTAATTCCACTGTAACTATTCTATGTGCCTAGAGGTCTCAGATTACAAAATCACAGAAGATCTCAACTCAAGCAGGATTATTACGAAGCTAAATGAGTAAAGTTGATTACTTGACTGCCTCATCCCCTTGCCAATAACTTTACCTATTACCTATGAAAGGATTTTAATAGTATGGCCTCCAGGAACTAATGAAGATCAGTTATTAAATAAAAGTGGTTTGCCCTCAATAGTAACCATGATTCCCAAGTGAATGCCTTTTTGACCCCAACTATGGGTATGATAGGCAATCTAAAAAATAAAAAAGTTCATTTGGCTCAATCTACTTTTGTCTCAAACCATTAACAGCATGACTAATAGATAATCTATTATTTAGTTACCAAAAAAGTGTTCTTGTTTTGTTTTTTTTCATGCTTTTGAAATCATGCAAGATCATTTTACTTACTTCTGCACTTTGTCATTGGCCGCTTGGGAGGCCTCCATGGCATGCTGAAGCTCTAATTCCATGTTTGCTCGATCTGTCAGAGCTTGCTGCAGTTGGGTAGACAGTTCCTCATTCTGTTGTTGAGTGATGGAAACAATGTTCTCTCTATTTTTTAAAGCTTCTTCATAAGTACTAAGGGTATGGTTAAACTGATCCTTCAGATTTTCTTCTTGGGATAAAGATTTGTGTAAACTGAGAAAAACATAAAAATAAATAATTGAAACATAAATATGTAGTCTTCCTGACCAATAATCTATTTAACAAAAATCTCCATAAGAAATAACCATTTCTAAAAATCAATTAAGACATACTTAAATGGGTAAACAAAAATAATTTTTATATCACAATATTATTCTTGATAATTATTCTACTTCTCTGCTTCTAGGCTGAAAGCTACCCAGACAAACGATTATTGATGTTACCAAAGCATACAAGAAGATGCTGCAAGATGTTAATATAATTACATCAGTATAAATATTACATTCAATTTTCTTTAAAAGGAATAGCGGAGAATTGGAAAATAAAGCATCTCTAGGTAAATAAAAGAATATAATAAGCTAACTGCAGAGAAGTGAGAAGTAAAGAGAACGGGCATCCGTTTAGTAGATTCAGGGTTTCTTCAGCTGAGCACTTAATGAGAATGAGTAAGGGCTGTACAAATAACTGATCAGCCCATACACAGATATAAATGAAGTTAAAATCACTAGTCCGACTGCACAGAAATAATATGTATTCAGATCTTTTCTTTTTGTTAATGAATCTCATGCCAAATATATCCACTCATTAAGTCATACAGAGAAATAGCATATAAATTAAGACCAAATGAATGCAGAAGAAAATGCAGACAAATAGAACCCTAAAATGCTAAAGGTCAAATCTTTGATATGTCATTACACCTACCACCTGAGGTTATTTTGAAATGGCACCAAGCACCTCACTCAATTAAATAAAGACATTTTGAAAATATAAATATTTAATAAGGGAAATTTAAAATCCACACAGGAGATGTTCTTTTTTTATTAAATAAAATCATTTCAGTATATGCATACAAAAGAAATGTCAATGGGAGACCTGTAAGTAAAACAACCTAACTATATAATACAGATTAATGATGTGAAAGAAAGTAATATAATTCTGAAAGCTTCAAAAAGCTAGTCAGGGAACTTTAGCACTGGCCGAATATCTAGTCTGATACTTTATTTAAAACTGTTTAAACCAAAGTAATTATACATTTCTTCTTTTTGTTTAAGTAACCTATAGATCTCTCCAGTGTGCTCACTTTGTAGAAGGTGTCACACAGAAATAAGAAGGACATGAAACAGGGATAGTCAGCATACCAAAAGAAATCATTTCAAGATTCAAATTAGTTCTTAAGAAGAAAGACTGCTACTAAACTGTGGTCAATTGATTACTACATAAAAATAAGAATGGTGTTTAGTGCCGTATTTGTAGAGTGCAAAGAAGTATCCTTCTTTATGGTTTTCATCTTGTTGTTTATCTAACCCTTCTTTCATTTTTAGTTCTTTCTACCAATCCATACGCCTAAAGGCTCCCATCTCCTGCCCATTTTCCTATTCTATGTTCTTTCACGCTTTCTGATTCCTCTTATTCCATGTTCGTTTCCTTCAATCCACCCTCTTTGGCTACTTGAAAGATCCAAGAAAGAAAGAAATGAAAAACAAAACAAAAAACCTTTAAAAAGACAAGACTCTTTATTTTCTTTACACTTAAAAGGTTATTACTTACATTTTAATTGTTAATTACATTTTAAATTACACAGAGTGCACAAATCCAAAGTATTCAGCTTGACAAAATGTAAAGAAAACATGTAATAAATGCAGAAGATTCCCCTCTGTTCCCTTCCAGTTAATTCCCCTTTCCCAAAGTAATCACTTATTCAACCTCTATTAAGATAAGTATTGTCTGGGGGCGCCTGGGTGGCTCAGTCGGTAAGTGTCTGCCTTCGCTCAGGTCATGATCCCAGCATCCTGGGATCAAGCTCCGCATTGGGCTCTCCACTCTGCAGGAAGCTTGCTTCTCCCTCTCCCACTCCCCCTGCTTGTGTTTCCTCTCTCGCTGTGTCTCTCTTTGTCAAATAAGTAAATAAAATCTTTAAAAAAAAAGATCAGTATTGTCTGTTTTTGAACTTTTGGTCTGGCATATTTTACTTAAAGGCTTATGAGATTCGTCCTACTGTTGCATGCAGTTCACTGTTTTTTATTGCTATCAAGTATTCTGTTATATAAATATACCACAATTTATTTAATCATTCCACTATTGTTGCTATTAATATTCTTGTACATTATCTTTTGATGGACCTAAGTACTCATTTCCCCCCCCCCCCCACTTTATTGAGATATAATTGACGTGAGTACTCCTTTCTGAAGTAAGAATTGCTCTATAGGGTGTATGTATGTTCACATTAGGTAGATGCTGCACAGAGTTTCCCAAAGTGGTCCTACCAATTTACACTCTCACCAGCAATATATGGGAGTTGCAATCGCTCTACATTCTCCTTTAGAGTATTCTCCCTACTGGTAAACTATACCCATTCTAATAGAGGTGCAGTGCAATTTCATTTTCTTAATATTGCCTTTTGATGAATTTAAGTTCTTAATTTGAATGAAGTCCAATCAGTCATTGTTTTTTAATGGCACTGTTTTTTGTGTCCTATTTAAAAAATATCTTAGCCTTTATATTTTACCCTTATGTATATGGTCTCATTTAAAGTTCACAGTGGGCAGCTTCGTTTGGGAATTCTGCATTTGTCTACGATGTCCATAACACTATGCAGTATACTCTAGCCAATTAAATATGAAGAATCAATGATTCAGTTTTTAAAATATCATCTTTATTAAAACCATGGTATCCCAATTTAATTCTCTAATCATTCATCATTTCCTAGTCTTCGATCCTTTAATTTTTTTCAAATTTATATCTCATTTTTCTCTCAGTTGGACCTGTGACTGGGATCCTTAACTCTCAAGCTCAAAAGCTACTCATCATTCAAAATGCCTTGGAAACCTTTAAATCTCCACCAAGACTTTCTCAAACAGAAGCAGCAGCTGGAATGATGTTTTAAAACAAGAAATTAGATAATGTCACTTAAAATCCTGCAGTGGCATCTCACTGCACTCAGAATAAGTCTCTAAAAATAATAACAACAAATTGCCTATTTTAACTCACTAAACCTCACAACAACCTATGGGAGAAGTCCTATCAATATTAGTTTTTTTACAGATGATGAAATTGAAGCAAAGAGAGGGAAGTAATTTAATTAATCTCACATATCTAACAGAACCAGAATCTCAACCCACAGTCTTCCTCCCTGAGCTGAAACGTGAAACACTCCTCCCAGGGGGCCATGAGCCATGGAGCCCTGTATCATCTGTTCTCTCTGCTTCCTCATCTTCTAGCCAGACATTGTTTCTCAAGTACATCAAGCTTTTTCCTGCTTGAGGCATTTGTTTGTAATGTCTTTCTCCCCTCTCCCTGACAAACTTCTACTTATTCATTTGGTCTCAGCATGAATACTGAGAAAAGTGTACTCAGATACACCTTTTATGACTCTTCAATCTAAATTTTGGTGTTCCTTCTTTGTTACTCTGTCTCAATGACCCTATTCTTTTTCTTCTTAGAACTTATAATAATTTGTAGTTTTTTTCAGTTTCATCTTGTGATCTATTTCCCAATTCCACCATATTAACACTCTATTTACAAAGGGCAATCTTTAAAAATGGGGATACACTCCTTAATAACTTCAATAAATCAAAATGCTTATATTTCTAAGGACACTTTCTTATCAGAATAAAGATGAAGCAGAGGGGATAGATTCCTAGCATATACAAATCTATACCATTTATAGCTTATTTTTGTTTTAGTGCTGTTTTTTCCTTGATAGTGCTCTTCCCTAGGGCCACCTTGTTTAGCTTTCTTCATAGAGTCAAATTACATTTAACCTCTTTTCAAAATTACTGATTTTCAGATGCATTTTTAGCATGGCAGCAGCATTACAATTTATTGGTCTTAAATGATGTTGTATTGGAAAATATTTGAAGTTATAGTAAGAATAAATGATAAAACAATAGCAGAAAAGAGTCATTAAATCACTCTCAGAAGGTCCAAAGCCTGTGGTTCACACAATATTGACAAAGAATGGTAATTATTTAGGTTTATCATGAAATTAATGAGGTAATATCATACGCAAGGTTTCCATTCACTCTTACAGCTTTCAAATTATGTAATTCTTTTATTTAATTTTTGTTATTATAGAAAGTGAGACTTTGAAAATATTTTTACTTGGTAATCTTTCATATTATAATTCTAAATCCATATCAAATGAGACAGTACATTGTCTCTTATGCTGCTCACCACGTAGAGTCCAACCGCAGGCTGGGGTAGAAAATACCCTTTGATGGGCACTGTACTAGTAAGCAGCATGTAACAGATTTCCTTTCTGGAGTGGTTTCCGTCTTGGTATCAACTCCCTCAAGTCCATGGTCCTATTTTCCTAGTCCCTGACTCTCTGAACTGCCTCAGCTTAAACTTTCTTGGAATTATCAAGCTTATGACCCACTTTTATGTTTTGCTTGCAGATATTTATGTTCTCCTCAGCTTATCTGCTTTCCTGCTGGCTGAACTCTCTTTCTCTCAACTGTAATGTCATACATGGATTCAGCTTATTCCTGCAACTAGTACTTTTCCATTTATGCCAAGTGTTGAAGCTACTTTTCCTGGCTTCCTCTTTTGTCTCCATGATCAGGTATTAACTTAAGTCCTTCATGAGTCACTTTACTCATCATCCTACAGTATGCACTTATTCTTCTGCTCATGCTTCATTTATTTACAGTAATTGCTCCATCAAGTGTTTTATATATGTTGCTTTAATTGGATAAATATGTTTAAATTAAAAATTTAGAGGAGAGGTACCACAGTATAAACCAACAGTTATTACCTAGGAATAATTTTGTCCCTCAGGGGATATTTGCAACATCTGGAGACATTTCTGGTTGTCATAACTCGAGGAGGGGAGTACTACTAGCATTTAGTGAGTAGAGGCCAGAGATGCTGCTAAGCAACCTCCATTGCAGAGGACAGTCTAATGTGTCAAAAATGCCAAATGTGGTGTACATGCAAAGATTTTGGCTTTGGACTTTGAAGAACTAGATTCAAATTTCAGTCCTGTCATTCAC